ACTGAAGGCACACTGAAGGCACACTGAAGGTACACTGAAGGTACACTATCGACAAGCACAGGCGGGATGTTGATGCTCGGGCATGGGTGTATTTCACAGTGCGGATTGGAGGTGAGTGATGCTTTGCTTGACCCCGAAGTTAGGCGCCACCACTATACACACGGAGAAAGACACAGAGAGGGAGAGAGGGGAGAGAGCAAGTCAGTACATGTCATCAATCTCCGCTTGCGGCGAGGCAACGAGGTGGAACTTACACAAGCTGTTGAGGACGCAAGATCGGTTTGCGCAGATATGCAGGCATGACAGGTCGAGTAGTGTGAGTGAGAGTGCTTGGTGGTGTATACGATTGATGAAAGTAGACTTACGATCGAGTGGATTGGGATGTGGATCTGTTGCGAAGCGAAGCGGCGACAAGACGAGAGGGCATTTGTAAGCGATGCAGCCCCTGGGGTGTGAGCGAGACGTGTGTACGTACGAGCTTGACAAAGTAACCGATGAAACCCATGACGACGAAGCCCATGCCGACCGCGCGGCAGATCTGGATGTACTCTTGATGCGTGCGAAGCCGCGACATGAAACAAGAGAGGCTGCGGTTAGTGGGGATGCTCGAAGCGGGCAGAATGATTCCTTCCTGAACAAGGGCGGGCGCATGCCTCGTTTGCTCTGCTTGCCAGCACCACCGAGAGCAAGGCAGGAGGAGAGAGGAAAGACGCACCTTTGCGGTTAGGCTTTGTGCATCGGTTGACAAAGTGGGTGCCTTCGCGGAAGAAGTTCTGCGGGATGTCGACGATCTCCTTGATGGTATCCGACATTGTTGCGGGTTGTAGCTGTCGAGACGTGTGCAGAGGGATGGTGGAGAAGCGATCGAGGCAAGCAGAAGCGTTGCGTTGCGATCAAGGTTTGGAGTGAGCGGCGTGGCATCTTCGCGCGGCCGTCGGTGCGCCACGTCGATTGGCTCAATCCGCCGCCCAACGCCCACGCACACTGCTTCTCCGCATCCCAGTCCGGCAGTCATTGAGGCGAGTCAGCCCCGGTTTAGTTGACGAGATGTAACATTCTCAAAAACTCACGGATCCGATGCGGGCAGCCCGGTTTTTTTTGCCTTGGAGCTGGAAGAAATTCCGCCTCGCTTCCTCACTCTCACACTTTGCCTTGGCCACCACCATCTCTGACCAGCTCTGTTGCTCACCACAATGGCTTCGATGTTCCGCAGCAGCTTGCGGACGGCACTCCGACCCGCCTCCACCTCCGCCTCCTCCTCTTCGGCCCTCGCCTCGAGCAGCAAGCTTCGCCTTCCATCGCTGCGATTCAACTCCACCTCGACCACCCCGCTCGAGACCGAAGCCGCGCCGACCGAGGTGCAGGATGAGGCGACGGCGGTACGATACAGCTACTTTGTGCCGCGTGTAGGAAAGACGCTGGACAGTCTGCCCGTATACACGGACGTGCGCAATGGCGGCACACGCACCATGACCGAGGTGCGCAAGATCCAGGGCTCCGTACAGGACCTCAAGCTCGACCTCGAGGTGTTCCTCGCCGACACCTACGCACCCACCTACCCCGACTCGCCACTAAGCGTCAACAAGAAACCGCTCCGCCCAAAACCGGGCCGCAAACTCGTTGCTTCCGTAGCCAATCCGACGTACATCCAACCCGTTGCCCAGGGCAAGGTGACCAACGCAGGGAAGCTCAAGATCCGTGGAAACCGCGTGCACGAAGTCAAGGCCTTCCTCGAATCCAGAGGCTTCTAAAGCATCACTGTACTCTCTGCGCAATTCTCAAAATTGCACACACTTCCGCATCACACGGGCGAATCGACAGCGAGTCGACAGCGAGAGATGATGGTACTGAAAGCTGAATTGAGGACGAGACGAAAACTAGTCGAATCCGGCACCCGAGCGCTGCTTCTTGCGCTTGTTGGCCTTGTTGTGCTTCTTGCTGTTCGCCTGGCCCTGCGCATTGGCACCGGGAGCCTGCTTGATCACCGAGCCGTCGTTGGCGATGCGACCCTGGATCGCAGCGGTCGGCAAGCCAGTGCGGCCGACGATGGTGGGGCGTGCCGAGGCCATCGTGTCAAAGAACGCCGAGTCGAGCGCCTTGGACTTTGCCGACTGACGCGGTCCTGCGGGCGCTCTGCTCCTGGCCATCTCAGCCAGCTCGCCATCCAGGTCGGCATCGAGCTCGTCCGCATGTTCGGCCAGATGCGCCGTGGAGGGGTCGTACTTGCGCCCTGCGAGTGCCGCCCTGGCGCGCTCTCGCTGCGCTGCATTGTAGACGTCCGAATCGACGCCCGGCGGCGGGTGGCTGTAGAGCAGCTTGGCATTGACATAGTCCTTGAGCACGTATCGCACCGCCCTCGACTCGTCCGGATTGCCCTGTCCCTGCCTGGTGTAGCCCCTGGCGACGGCATAGGCGGTGAGCATCTCGAGACCTGTAGGCACGCCGTTGCCGCCCTCTTCCTCGGTGAGCGTGTCGATGCGGATGCCGTAGGTGGCCTCGACAATGTCCTTGGGGATGCGCTTGGCGACGAGCTCGGCGGGCGCAGTGTATTCGCGCATCTGGTCGATGGGCAGCACGCCATCGCACACGAGCTCGGCCGAGGTGGTGGCGAACTGCGGGAAGACGAGACCGGGACAGTCGCACAGCACGGTGGTGGGCGAGAGGTGGATGGTCTGGAAGTGCTTGGTCTTGCCGGGCGTCGACGAGACCGACACCTTCTTCTCGCCCAGCAGCGCGTTGATCGTCGACGACTTGCCCACGTTCGGGTAGCCGACCAGACCGACGACGAGCTTGGACGGCGCCGGCTGATCGTCGATGGCAAACGTGTCGAGCGGAGGCGCGCATGCCATGAACAGCTCCTCGAGCTCGAGCACGTTGAGCACACGTGTGGGATCGCGGTCAGGCGAGAGTGTGGTGGTAGCGGTGGCGGTCACGGCGTCGACGACTTGGGCTTGGTCGTGTGCGTCGGCTTGCGAGTCGTGGCTGGCTTGGTCGGCTGCTGCCGGTTGACTGGCAGCCTCCTCTGGGTGTTGGTCGTCGTTATCTTCGCCCTCGGACTCGTCTTCATCGTCTTCCTCGTCATCGTCGCGTTCGAGCTTGAGCTGTTCGAGACGCAGCCTCTCCTCCTCCTCGGCTCTTGCCTGCTGGATGGCGGCGGCATTGGCGGCACTGAAGAAGGCGTACTGGATACCTTGTGCGTCAAAGTAGTCGGCCCAGTACTTCCTCTGCTGGTCGTCGAGCAGATCGGCCTTGTTGATGAGCAGCAGGTTGCTCCTGGGACCCTTGAGCGGCGAGTCCTCTTCGAGGTAGTCGATGCCGTTGGTGGAGCCGATGCCGAGGCTGGAGACGTACTTTTCGAGATCCTCGCAGCGGAAGCGGAGCGGATTTCGGGCGTCTACGATCTGGACGACGAGGTGGCTGCGCTCGATGACGCGCCAGAGCTGGCGCCACACCTCGAGGTTGCGCTCGAAGGGGGTGAGGACGAGGCCGACGCCTTCCTGGAGCTGTGCGAGGCCGCGTCGCCACTCGAGGAATCCGTCCTTCTCTGCGCGCTCGAGCTGTGCGCGTGTGGTTGCGCTGGTCCACTCGGGACGCCTGGGGACACGCAGACGCTCCTTGTTCTGCACGTGCTTCTTGAGCACCTCCTGCTCCTCCTGACCCGTGAGCAGGTAGGGGTTGTGTCGGGTGCGCTCGCGGTTGGGCGCGGTGATGACGGTGACGCCGCCGTTCCTGCGTTCTGCGGTGAAGTCGGCGTCTGCGAGGGAGGCGGTGTTGAGGAACTCTTCGAGGTCGCCCTCGTGCGTGACGGAGCGGAGGTTGGAGACGGAGCCGTAGTTGTTGATGTCGGTGGTGTGGAACTCGGTCTGGTTGCGCTGCTTGGCCTCCTTGGCGCGGCGGTTGAGGATGGCGCGACCCAAGCCGACGGTGTTCTTGGACTGTGCGAGCGGCATGGTGGATGTCTATGCAAGCCGCACGGGTATCGAAATGCGACTCGGCGGGATGATAGGGTGTGGAGAGGAAGGGAGTAGAAACTGGCTATGCTTGAGCCACCACCACCACCACCGACACCTGCCACCGCTCACCAGTTGTGCACCCGCAGCGGACTTTACGAAGGCCAAGGCAGCAGCAGCAGCAGCCAAGAAGATTTCTCCACCCAAAAAGAAAAAAGGCTCGCTCGACTGAGCCAAAAAAGAAGAAGAAAAAAAAAGGGCTGCAGGGCCAAAGTGAAATTGCGAAATTTTTCGGATATCGCCTCCACACTTTCATACTGGGCTCTGTGCCGCTTTTTTCCCATTCTTCCAGCCTAGCCTTCAGCTTTGAGCCGAGAGCTGAGCGACTGCTCTCACCATCATCCCTCACGATCGCTTCACACTGGCCATAGCAGCCAGCACCACCACACAGCCATGGATCCAACACTCAAGCTGCTTACCCTCATCAATGTCAGCGCAGCACGTCCGGGCAAGCGTCAGCGCGCCTCCAACCTCACCCACTACGACAAGATCACTCGCAAGGCCGTAGCCGCTCAGCAGGCCACAGCATCCACCAGCACCGCCGCTTCCGCATCTGCGTCTCCGTCAAAACGGTCCAAGGCGGCTTCTACCTCGTCTGCATCATCGTCACAGGCTCAAGGCACCGACGAGCTTGTTGGCGAGGTTTCGGACGACGGCGACGATCATGAGGCCTCCCCTGCAGTGACCAAGCACAAACAGGCGAAACAGCCCGTTGCCTTTGATGCTCACTTTGGCAGCGACGGCCCGCATGCAAAGGCCATCGCCAAGCTGCCCGAGTCGGTCAAGTCGCTCTCCTGGACTTCTTCTCGCTCGGCGCTCCCTTCCCTCCCCACCAACACCGCCGTCTCCAGGCCGGACCTGCCCGATTTCGATACCCAGGCTTACCCCGGCCAGCCGCAGGTCAAGGTGCTCGACGCCTTCAATGCCTACGCCGCCAAAAAGTACTCGGAGCCCACGCCGCTGCACAAGGCGCTCGCCACCACCCTCGGCAGCTACACCGACTTCTGCGATGCCAACGTAGCGTTGCGAGACCGTCAGCAGTACCGCGAGGCGCTCGCCATGCACGCCATGTCGCACGTCGCAAAGACGCGCAGACGCGTGCTCAAGAACAACGAGAGGCTCGCCAAGCTCGCCGCCGCCGCCACTTCCACCGACGCCGACGAGCTCGACCTGCGCGACCAGGGCTTCACCCGGCCCAAGGTGCTCATCCTGCTGCCCTTCCGCAACTCGGCGCTCCAGTGGGTCGACCTCGTGACCAAATTCAGCCTGTGCGCACAGGTGGACAACAAGGCGCGCTTTGCCAAGGAGTTCAACCTGCCCCCCGGCGCGGTCGACAAGCTCGCCGATCCGGCCGTGGCGTCAAAGTATCCCGAGGACCACATCGCCAACTTTGCAGGCAACATCGACGACTCGTTCAAGCTCGGACTCAAGGTGACCCGCAAGTCGCTCAAGCTGTTTTCGGGATTCTACGACTCGGACGTCATCATCGCATCGCCGCTCGGCCTGCGATTGGGCATCGAGAAGGACCGTGGCGATTCGGACTTCCTCTCGAGCATCGAGATGCTCATCGTCGACCAGACCGACGTGATCAGCATGCAGAACTGGGACCACCTCGAGTTTGTCCTCGAGCGGCTCAACCACATCCCGCGCCAGAGCAGGGACACGGACTTTTCGAGGGTCAAGCAGTGGTACCTCGACAACCGCGCGCCCATGATGCGCCAGTCGATCCTGCTGTCGGCGCACGACTTTCCCGCTCTGCGCTCGGTGTACAATCACACGCTCACCAACGTGGCGGGCAAGGTGCGTACGCTTTCGCACACGTCCGAGGCGCAAGCTCAGATGACCCGTGTGGTGAGCGGAGTCAGGCAGACCTTCACGCGGTTTGAAGCGGCCAATGTGCATGCGGAGCCCGATCTGCGCTTCCAGCACTTTACCACCAAGACGCTTGCGCAGCTGAGCAAGAGCGCGGTGTCGAGCAGCCATACGCTGATCGTTGTGCCGAGCTACTTTGACTTTGTGCGACTCGACGACTTCCTGCGCGCGCACAACGAGCAGCGTCGTTCCGGCGAAACGGCCAACCTCTCCTACACCTCCATCTCGGAATACTCGACGCCCAAGGACATCCGCCGTGCACGCGAGGCGTTCTTCAGCGGCAAGAAGCGATTCCTCCTCCTCACCGAGCGCGCCCACTTCTACAGGAGGTTCAAACTGCGTGGCGTCAAGACGGTTGTGTTTTATCAGCTGCCTCAGAACCCAAGCTTCTTTGCAGAGTTCCTCGAGTTCCCCTTTATCACAAAGCGCGACTTGGCCAAGCCGAGCGACGACGATGAGGACGACGAGACGGATCCAAACGACGTCGCCGCATACGTCGTGTACAGCAGGTACGACCTCATTGCCCTCGAACACGTCGTCGGCTCCCAGCAGGCCGCCAACATGATCTCCCAGGACAAGGCCACCTGGAAGTTCGTCTAGACGCAAGCGAGGAGAGGAATCCCACACATCTGCTTATTCAGTGTCCCGAGGCTGTGAATGCGGTGAGGCCGAGATTGTGGGCTGTGATGGTGGGCGGAATCTCGTGGATGAGGGCCTGGCGCATGGCTGCCGCCAGTTGTTGTGTGGTGGGCGACTCGTGAAGACGCCCAATGATCGGGTGCACCACTGCAAGTGAAAGCTGCTCGACGAGCAGCACCAGCCGGTTGCCGACCAGAGCAGTAGGCGAGTCGGTGGCGCTCGAGGGCTTGATGACCCGCGCGAGCATCACCGCATTGCGCACGAGCCCAAGCATCTCTTTCAGCACATGCGCAGCCGCCATGACGTTCCCCGTCAGACCGTGTATCTCCCCCACCGAGTCCTGTAGCCGTTGGATCTGGCTCGCAAACACACCCAGTACCGCCTCGGCCAAGCTTATATACCGCGCGTGCGTGTCGTCCAGCACGGTCTGTACGATATCCACCACGCCCACCAGCTGCTCCACCTCCTCCAACGACCACACCGACACGCCACCCGCACTCAACATCGCAACGAGCCGCGGTACCAGCACGTTGGTCGTGAGCGAAGTGAGCACCTCGTCGTCGCCACCGAGCGGGGCGCGGGGGTGGCGCATGGCTCGCTCCGTGTACTCGGACGCACCGGTGAACCAGCGAAAGTCGACAAGCGCCCCGACGCCTGCAGTCCACCCGCTGTGCTCCCGCGTTCGGAAGGCGTCCCATGCGACCATCTCGAGGCGCGCATAGAACTCCCAGATCTGTCCCACCGACAGACCGCCCCATACCTGCGCGTACTCGTCAGGGTAGCGTCGCCGCCACTCTTCAAAGCGCACCACTACACTGCGCGGGTGCAGCGCCGTCCAGTCCGCCCGAGTGCGCCGCAGCCATGCCAGCCCGGATGGAGAGTCCGAGTCAGAGGCGCCAGCGTCGATCGGCGCCAGCGGATCGAGGTACTCTGGTGCTTGGACGTCCGAGAACGTCGCGTTGAGTCGGTCGATGATCTCGCGCTTTGCAAGGTCCAGGGAAAGCTGGTCGGCCGCAGCGAGCTCATCGAGCTTCGGCAAGACAGAGGCTGCCTTGCCAGTGAGGTGGTCAGGCAGACTGCTCTCGCGCTTTTCCTCGTCGTCGTCGATGCTGGGGATGAGGGACTTGGTAGGGCGAGTGCCGAATGCCTCCTCCCACCGCGCTTGCAACCACGCCGCCCTTGCTCGGTTGAGCAATGCGGTCCTGCGCGCGATCAATGCCACCGCGTCGCTCTCGATCTCGTTCACCCTGGCCTTCTTTTCGCCCGCAAACCGCGCGAGACTCGCAACAAAGCCGTCGAGCTCGTCGAACCAGCTCGCCTTGTCCTCGACCGCGGTCACGTCCAGCTTGTTCTGCTTCTCGGCCTCGGCGAGCCCGTCGAGCTCGACGAGTGAGGATGCCAAGACCGCGTCGGCCGCACCTTTGCTCTGATCGAGCGCACGCAGCGTCAGCTGCAGCCTCGCCGAGCATGTCCCCACCGACGGCACGGGCGCGGGGTCTGGGATCGGTGCGGCGCGGAACGGCGAAGCCTCGCGCGACGCTGCAGCCGCACTCGGCTGCGTACGCCGCAGCTGTGCGCGCTCCCACTCCTCCTCGTCCTCGTCCATCTCGTCTGCCACCGCGCCCGGAGCGTCGTCGTCAAAGTCGCCGCGCACTGCCGCCTCCATCTGCCGGCGCTGACGGCGTTGCAGCTCCTCTTGCGCCTTGGCGCCGATCGGGATGCGCTCGCTCGCTCCCGTGTACTCGGCAAACTCGTCTTCGCCATCGCCCAATTCGTCCTCTTCGCGCTGCAGACGCGAGTGCGGGTGCGGGCCGTCATCCACCTCCATCGCATCGTACGCCTGCACGGCCGAAGAGCGCGAGAAGGGCGCGAGAGAAATAAAGTCGTCCGAGACACCAGACGAGGCGCCGGCCGCACGCAGCTTGGCGCGCCTTTCCTTAGCGGCGCGAATTACGCTCTCGCTCGGGATCGCATCGTGCTCAAAGTCGGCTGCGTACTTGCTGCGTGTGAGCGCGTCGTCATCACCAGCTGCGAGGCCGGGTCGAGAAGACGACGCGGCCATGGGGTCGTCCATGAATGTAGCTGGCCCTGGTGGGGCAGGGGCGGGGCTGTGGGCGCGCGATCGCGCGGTCGGCGTGGAAGTGCGCAGCTCCTCGAGGTGTTTCGATGTGTACAGCGACGATGTCGGAGTGGACGTGGATCCTTCCGCCTGCTCGTGTGTAGGCATGTCTTTGAACGCCGTCGGACGCAGTGGAGTCGATCTCTTGGGCGTGCTCGCCGAGCTGGACGAGCGTGCCGACATGCCGACTCCAGACATCCGAGCGGGCCTACGCGCTCCATCGACCTTGGATCGTCGTGGTGCGAGCGCCGGGACATCATCGTCGTCGTTCTCATCCTCTACCGTCTCGCCATTGCCTACTCCGCGCGTCACAGGTTTGGCTGTGCTTGCGGCAGTAGGCGTCGCGCGGGCACCCCTCGCTCGTGGACGAAAGACCACCCCTCCCGCATCTGGCTCCTGCTCTTCGTCCGAGCCTCCGCGCGACAGCATCTGCCGCGGCGTCGAAGATCGCGACGCTCCGGATGCTGTGGTAGGCGCTGAAGGACCGGCTGCCTGCGATGCGTCGTCAACCTCGTCGTACGCGGACGAGACGCGAGTGGCCACACCCTTGGGCTTGCGCCGCTTCACAAAGCTCGCCGAGCCGCTGCTTGGGTCTCCTCCCTCCATCTCTGCGTGTGTCACGCCGCCTGGACGATGTGTTGTGGGGGTGGTCGGGAAGAGTATCGTTGTGGTTCACATGCAAGCCGCCCAGGTCGAGCTGCATCTCCTTTACCGAAGGACGGGCATTTCCACGTTCCGAATTCCGAAATCTCAGCCAGGACCTTCAGAAGGGTGAGGATCCCGTTTTCGCTTTCCTGGTTGTGGCCTTCAACTCACACTGCTTCATCTGTGCTCATGTCACATCATGGCAGCGGTGTGGTGGTCCAATATGTGTTGATGGAGGTGTGATACAAGTACATTCGATGTGATACAAATAGATGAGAGCTCACGCCTTCTTCTTGAGCTTCAGTTTGAGTCCGGCAGGCGTGGGTGTGCCCGTGCCTGGCGCCGGGCTTTGCGAAGGGCCGGGCGACTCGCCTGGCGTCTGCGCCGCCGGAGTCATCGGGGTCATTGGACCAGCACTGCCGATTCCGATGCCCATGCCCATGCCTGGTCCGAAGAAGCCGCCGCCGCTCGCGAGATGCGGCATGCCCGGGCGTCCTGCACCGCCCGGCGTCCCCGGCGTGCCCGGCCCACCGGCTGCGCCTCCCGCGCCATTCTTGCCGCCGTCCTTGGGGAACATTGGGCACGACGTATTGGTCGACATGTGTCCGACCTCGCCGCACCGACCGCAGCGACGCTTGGTGTCGGTCTTGTTGAGCAGGCTCTTGTAGCCCCCCGGGATGGCGAGACCCTCTGCGGCCGCCTTGGCGTTCTTTCGCTGGATGCGACGTTCCTGGTTCTTCTTGCGCTGCGCAAGCTCTTCCTGCAGACGCTTCATGCGCGCCATGTCGATCGCAGCATCGCCCGTCGGCAGCAGGTCCTCCGTCGCGATGGCTTCGTCCTCGATCTTCTTGCGCTGCGTGAGGTAGGCATTGATGACCGCCGGGTCGCGCACCATCTCGCGCTGCCACTTGCCGTTGACCAGCCGACGGATACGCAGCACCTTGGTCGACTTGTCGCCTGCATCGCCATTCACTGTGCTCATCGCACTCGGGCTGCGGTCGCGGCGCACAGACTCGCCTCGACCGCCGCCTCGCTGCTCCGGCTTGCCGCCGTTCGCCTGCAGCGCCGCCCTGCGCTCGTCCTCTGCGGTGAGCTTGGCGGGAACCGGGTTGGACAGCGAGCGGCATTGCGCGTTCCAGATACGGTCGATCTCGGATCGGTAGACCGCCTGCTGCTCGGCAACGCTGTACTTGTGACCCGACTTGCTCTTGGCTTCGGCCTCGGCCTGTGCTAACCGCTCTTCAGCATCCTCGCCCGCTCGGAGGAAGATCTCTTTCATCGAGACGCGGATGAAGCTGAACGCCTCGCCACGGCCGGTGGGATCTCCGTCTCCATGCAGCTTGAGCATGGCTTTGCCCTGCGTCGCATTGATGAAGTTCTTGCTGGTGATCCAGGGAGCAAGCAGCTGCTCGATGTCCATCTTGCTCTCGTCGTCGTCGTCGCCCTCGGCGGTGTTGGTGTAACCGCAGTCGAGCAGGTGGCGCTGTCCCACCTGCATGCTCTCGGCGAGACAGATGTTCTNCGTCGTCGTCGTCGCCCTCGGCGGTGTTGGTGTAACCGCAGTCGAGCAGGTGGCGCTGTCCCACCTGCATGCTCTCGGCGAGACAGATGTTCTCGGGCGGCAGCATCTTGAGCAGCTCTGCCTCTTCGGGCACCACAATGTGCGCCTTGAGCTTCCAGAAGCCCTGGTTGACGTCGCCAGCCTTGCGGTTGTACTCCATGAACTCCTTGAGCCTCTGGCGCATCTGCAGCTCGTTCTGGTCGGGGAAGTAGCGCATCAGTCGGTGAATCTTGATACGCTGTCGCTGACTCTTCTGGATGAGCTTGTAGGCGATCATTTGCAGACGGTACTTGATGTTGTTGGTGATCAGGCGCGCATGTGGACCTGGGATGGGCTGCACCGGGTACGTCTGGCCCACCACAAAGAGGTTGCGGATCTCGCGGAGGTAGTAGCGGATCTCGTTTTTGGTGGTGCTGCGAATGAGCAAGAAATCCGTGTGGGACGGCTTGTGGCGGAAGAGCGGAGCGCGGATCATGTTGTTGTACAACGTCGGCTGCACCTGTCCTCGTTCGATGTTGCCGAACTTCATGAAGGGCGACTCGTCGGCCACGTCGAGCAAGTAGGGCTCGCCAATGTCCATCTTGGGCACGTGCTCGTCCTTGGCATCTTTCTTGCGATAGTAGTTGACCAGCAAGCTGCCCATGCCGATCTTGGAGAGCAGCGGCGGATACTCTTCCGAATACTCGTACAGCACGTACGGCCCGGTGTCCTTGAGCGTCAGATCGCGCGTGGTGCGCAGCATCTCGTTGGGGTCTTTGGCCTTGCGTGCGCCCGCGCCTTCCTTCTTCTTTTTGGACGAGATGGTCCTGGAAAAGTGGAGAGGCATGTTGGTGGGGAACTGCATGGCAGGGCGGTGGAAAGATCGAGCCTCGGCCTTGGTGAGCTTGGTCTTGTACCAGGGGAGCTGAAGCTTGATGGCGGGCCACGCATGCTGAACGACGAGCTTGCCAAGCGTTTGACGCACACGCTGGCGATGTTCACGCGTCTGTTCGTAGAACTTGTCGTTGGAGAGGTTGAAGATGTCGAGCTCGGCCTGGCGGCGCGCGAGGTCTCGCTTTGCGGCGGCCGAAACGACGGGTGCGTCGGAACGAAGGAGCGAGTTCTGCTTGATTTTGGGTCCGACGTCCTCCTCGAGCATCATTTGCGGATCGTTCATGTCCAGCACGAGCGTATCGAAAGGTTCGAATAGGGTATGTGCATCCCAGATGATGCTGCGGGTCCAAGCACCGCGGACGAGGTCGTGATTGAACGGCTTGTCCACGCTAGGTGGCGCGTAAGAAGCATCGAACGACTCGTCCATGAGGTCAACCTTGTGGAACTGATCAGCTGCCTCAGCCGCGGCAGGTCGGTCGTTCTGAGTGGTGGCCCAAACAACACGCTCTTCCCAGTCGTCCAACTCGATCGGCGCCAGCTTGACCCTGCTACTCTCCGCTTTGACGCCGGGCGTGGTGATGAGCTGGAGATCATCCATATCCGAGTCGCGCGTCTCGGGGCCGGTGGCTGATGCGCCCAGACCACGGGTGAGGTTGGGAAGGATGGAGGCATGATGCGAGCGTAGAGCGGAAGGCCTGAGCATCTCCTCACGAGTCGACTTGGGGACCGGCAATTCGTCCTGTGGAGTCACGTGGAACTTGGCCTGCGCAGGCCCGAGTCTGCGCTTCTTGGGTGGACGTGTGGCGAAGAGGTCGGTGAAGTTGAGCACTTTGCCGGGCTCGAAATCGGGGAAGAGCTGATGAACCTCGTCCATGTCGACGTAGGGTCCATGGCCGGGAGCACCGGGCATGTACGGCTGCTGAGGCAGGGGTGGGGTCTGTGGCGACGACTGCCGCGAGCTGTCCGATCCAGGAAGCGCTATCGGCATGGATGGTGCGGCGGATGTTGAAAAGGATGCTGGGACGGGGCCGGAGAGGAAGGCCATATCCGTGTCGTCGTCTCTTTCCTCTTTGACCTGGATCATGCCATCGCCGAAGCGACTCACGCCGTTCGACTGGGGGGTATGTCCGTTTGCATGGGATATTGATGCATCTGGTCGTGGTTGCTGCTGGGACAAGGGCACATCGTCGTCGTCTTCACCCTCCGCGTCATCATCTTCGTCGTCATCATCAAAATCATCATCTTCGCCTCTGAGCCGGGCTCGGGGTTGTTCGAGCTGAGCCATGCCCTGGCGATAGTATCTGTCGAGCGCAGCTCTCTCCTCCGAGTCGTGCTCGCTAGCGAGTTCCCTGCGCATCTCGTCGTCTACCTCGGTCTCCCAGTCCTTTGTGGAAGAACCATTGTGACGGTAGGCGTCGCCGAGGTTGTCGTCCTCGTCGGCGAAGCGATCATTGTAGATGTCTTCTTGCTTGATTCTGCCGCTGCTGGAAGCGATACCGAGGCGCTCGAGGTCGTTCTGATGCTGTTCGTCGATGCCTAAGTCGCGTAGGACGTTGCCAAGGGCAAGGCCACCCAGGTGGAGGGCGGCATTCTGCTCGTCGTCCATGCTGCCTAGAGAGAAGCCGGACAGGCGATACGCCTAATAGGATTGGCGTATGTATGCTTCGAAGAGGTACGATGGTCCACTGGCTGGCTGGCTGGCTATGCCAGGTAAAGGTGGAGAGGGGATTCGTAGCTAAAGGAACAGCTGCATGAGGAACACGATGGCGACGGCGGTCGTTGGTGTCTGGAGATGGTGCGCTGTGGTCGGAGGCGTCTGCGTCGCTGTGAGTGGGTGAAGAGAGAGTGATGCGCGACGTGCGTGCCAGCGGGCAAGGACAAGGGGAGGAGGTTAAGTGCGAATCTCAAGGCCAAGTCGAGGGTCGACGATGCAAGCCGACAGCTGCTGCGCATTTCGTCAACGCGAGGACCGCCTGCTCACGAGTCCAAGCCATCGCCGATGTGTGGGCGTGGATATCGACCGATCTGCATTTGTCACGCTTGACTGAGCGAGGGGATTGGTTTGGCGCTGTTAGAGTGCTTGGCAGCGAGGAAGGGCGATCTCGGGATTTTTGGATTTTGCTCCACCAAAAGTCGAAGAAACGTCAGACGAGCGGCAGGGAAACATTCTTACTTGAGCGGCCGACGCTTCCCTTTTCGCCATCCAAGCCTCATCCTCATTCGCTCCTACGCCATCTCCTACGCCACCGCTCACATCGCTTCGGATCACGCACCGCAAGGCACTCGCGTCAGTATCGGAGCACGCAGGCAAAGGTCCCGTTCAAGGCATTGTACCGATTCCGGATCGCACGGTGGCGCATCCACACCAGAAGCGCGAAGAGCCTCCACACGAGGATCCCATCGGCTTGGCTTCAATCCACGACCTTGGTTCACTAGGCTTCGACTCCGATGCAGTCTACATAGCGGCGCAGCGACTCTCTCCTTGCATTCCTTCCTATCCCCGCCTCTGCACGTAGGCGCTCTGCTGGCGGGTCCGCGAGTCGGCTCGACCTGCCAGTGCTCAGCCACACGCCACCATGCGCTACCACGTCTTGGGGGTCGGAAGCATAGGCTCGCTCATTGCCTTCCACCTCAAGCGCTCCATCAAGCTGCAGCGCAAGCTTCTGCAGCCGGGGCCCTCGTCCAAATCGCGCAGGGAGCTGCTGCTCTCCAACCTTTCCAACAAGCGGCCGGCTTCGAATCAGGGCAGCATTGTCTCGTCGCTCAGCCTGCCGCCTTACGTGCAGTCCGAGCTTCCTGATCCTCTGCAGTCGTCCGTCACACTGCATATGCGCAGGAGGCCGTTTGGAAGGGCGGCCAAACAGCGCTTCGCCAACTCGATCATCCTCGAGCAGGACGGCGTGCGTGACATCGAGGGCGGCTTCCAGACCGACTTTACCGCGAGTGCCGCCGATATCACGGCTAGCATCGTGCGCGACAACCGCTTACAAGAAGACGAAGACGATACAGGCGCAGGTCGCTTCACAATATCGCGAGGGACGAACAGCTCGAGCTCGGAAGATGCGGCTTTGCGCGAGCAGACGACGTCCAGGACGCCGGTGCCAGACCACGATGGCGGCGTCTCGCTCATCTCGACGCTCGAGGGCGTGCATTCCCAACCAAGGGCAGGGCCTATCGACAGTCTGATCATCACCACCAAGTGCGACTCGACGCTCTCGGCGCTCGAGGCGATCCGTCATCGGCTGCATCCGTGGTCGACGATCGTGCTGCTGCAGAACGGCATGGGCGTGCTCGAGATGCTCTTCGACCGCTTCTTCAAGGATGCAGACCAACGGCCCAATTTTGTGCTCGCATCGACCACGCATGGATGCTGGAAGAAGGGGCCGCTGGATGTGGTGCATGCTAGCATGGGCACGCTGCATTTCGGAATCGTGCCCAGCGCTCGAGCCGGCTCGATTGGATTCGAGTCGAGCCGCGTGCCATTGGGACAGACTCTGACGATGCCGCAAGGGCCTATGTCGCGCAGACGGCGTGCAGCGAAGAATGCGAGAGGTTGGGATCGATTCTCTCCCGATGCGGATGCGCAGGATGCTGTGACCGAGCTCAATCCACAGGACGCCGAGGCGCCATCCAAGATGCTCTCGCTATCCGGTATTCCGGACCAGCCGAGTTTGCGGACGCTTCGAACCACCGTGGCTGCGTTGCTGTCGCTACCGCTGCAGGTCGAGTGGGAGACGATCCGCGACTTCCAGTTGCGCTCGCTCCGCAAGCTCGTGATCAACGCATGCATCAACCCGCTCACAGCGCTTGCCGACTGCAAGAACGGCGATCTGTTCGGCAATCCCGCTGCTATGGATGCCATGTGGACCGTCTGTCTCGAGGCAGGTATGGTGCTCGAAGCCCAGGTGCGCGAACACCTCGCCTCGTCCCAAGCCTCGCCACGCCAAACCGCATCGGCAGCCCTGTCGGCAGAAGACCTCATCCTTCGCTCCACCGAAACGGGCGAACCCATGCTGCATCCAAGCTTGACTCCCCAGGCGCTCTACCAGGAAGTCCAGAGAGTCGCAAGGTTGACTGCCGCCAATTGGTCCTCCATGCACAGCGACCTCAAGAACAAAAGAGGAAGCACAGAGATCGATTACATCAATGGCTACATCTCGGCCCTAGGCAGAGGATACAACATCGACACCACCGCCAACGATCTCTTGACCAACCTCATCAAACTGAAAACTACAAGAGCCACTGGCACAAATAGGCTCTAGCTCCTTCCACCACTCCCCCTCCAATCCAAAACTCGACCAACTCGGTCTCCACCGCGCATCTTGGATGTCAACAATTTTTATCTTGCCGCGCATTTCCACCGCCTGAACCATCGCTCGCTCGCACATGCAGGTTGGGACCAAGCAGAAAGTCAAGTGAAACGCCCATTGCAATTGTACGGTAGCGCGGGTCTAGCCAGCCAGGGCGCCTTGCCCACGCTCGGGCGGGTTGACGACCAGCATGCGTACGCCGTCCATCTCGGCCTTCATGTCCGGCATGTCCTGCGGCGTGATCATAATGTACTGCACGTGCGGCGTGGCCTTCGCCTCGTTGAGGATCATATTGAGCGCCACGCGCCGGTTGACCTGGTCCATAAAGATGTCGAATTCGTCCAGACATCGAATCGGCGAGCTCATGGCCTGCCACAGCGAGAGCAGCAGGCACGCCGTGGCGAAACTGCGCTCGCCACCAGACATGCCCTTGTTGGAATGCTGCGGTGCCTGCGGCTGCGTCGGCGTCGCCGCGCCCGACCGCGAGGCCGCATCCTGCGTGATCACCACCAGCGACAGCTTTTCCGCCTTGTGATTGAACTTGAGCGTGCCCTCGTAGCCGCGCATCGACAGATTCTTCGCAAAGTTGCTCTTGGCCCGCACCGCGATGGAGCGCCGGAAGAAGCTCCACTTTGCATAGCGCACTTCGAGTGAGTGTCGCAGCCGCCGCTCCGCCTCGTTCATGCTCGCCACCTCCTCCTGCGCCTCGCTGAGTGCACGCTTGCGCTTCTGCAGCTCCTCCGCCGCCTGCTCCAGACTCACGCCCGCCTCGGACGCCGCCTTCTTCTTGAGCAGCTGCAGCTGCTTCTTCTCCGCCTCGATCTCGGCCATCGTGCGCCGCGTCTCCACCTCGTCGCAGTACTCCTTGGCCTTCTCCTCCAGGGAGCGGTGATCCTCTTCGAGAGTCGCCTCCTCTTGCTCGCTCGCCGCGACGTCCTCTTGGATGCTGGAGCGCTTCCGCTTCCAGTAGTCGCGGTTGTTGGTCTGCTTGACTCGCTCCGCCACGGCCGTTTCCAGACGCCCCTGGAGGCTGCTCATCTGCTCCTCGAACTGGCGCTTGCGTTCGTCGATCGCCTGGATCTCGGCTTGCACCGGCGCCCTCTGCGCGACCACCTCGGCCTTCTGTGTCTGGATCTCCTCGAACTGCTGCATGATCACCTCCTTCTGCGTCTCCATCTCGCGCTTGGCGTCTTCGAGCGCCGAGATGTTGCCCGGCGCAGCTTCCTGCATCTGCTCGTCCAGCCGCACGTTTTCCTGACGCAGCATGTCTTTGCGCCTGCGCATCTCGCCGAGCTCTCGCCTGCAAACGTCCTTCTGCCGTTCGGCCGCCGTCTTCTCCTGGCGGAGATCGCGCAACGCCTGCTGGCATTGGGCGATCTCCTGGTCCAGCCGTTGTTGTTCGGCCTCGAGATTGCGGATGGCGTCGGCGACGTTCTGAGACAGCCGCGGCGCTCCTCGGTGCTCCGGGAGCGCAGCAGAGAGCGAGCCGGCTTGACCACCGCTGATGCTGAACATGTCTGCCGAGAAGCACGCCTGGACGTTGTACGGCTGCGTGCGCATCAGCCTGTCGCCGTCGGCACGTTTGTCGACGAGCGCAGCGCGCTCCACGTGCACTGAGAGGATGAGCTGGCGCTTTACGATCTCGTTGTCGCACTCGATCACGCGCAGGATCGTGAGAATGTCGGCATGCGGCTCTCCCGACGAGTAGTCAAAGAGCGTGTCGGCTCCAATGATGATGGGCGAGTGGCATCCGACTCGATCCATGATCTTCTTGAGGCGCTGGCGATCCTGGTGGTTCGAGACGAAGAAGGAATTGAGCGTGTTGCCAATGACACTCTCGAGTACCCTCTGCCAGCGCATGTCCTTGAGCTTGACGTGCGTGCCGAGAGGTCCGATGGGTTTGGATCTCCATCCTGGCTCGTTGTTGATGGCCTGGAGCAGAACGGGGACTTTGGAGCCACCGTAGGCGACGAGGCGGTTGCGTGCACTATCGCGAAGCTGCGTCAATCCGGAGCTGTTGCGCTGATACTCGTTCTTGAGCCGCTGCAGACGGTCGGTCTCTTCTTGCTCGCGTCGAGCGGCGTCCTCGCGCTTGGCGTCCAGCTCGCGCAGCTGCTCGTCCTTCTCTACCACTTCGTCCTGCAAGGTCTGTCGTTGGGTCTGAAGCGCTTGGCGTTCTTGCTCGAGTTGCTCGCGACGCGCTTTGCCTTCGTCGGCGAGCTTGGCGGTTTCTTCGCGGATCTGGTCTTCGTATCTCTCGATGCCTTTGTTCAGCTCGCTGATGTTGTCGTTGAGTTCGCGTTCTTGCACGTTGAAGGCCTTGATCTGGTTGGAGATGTCCTTCTGTTTGCGCACGAGCCCTTCGTACTCCTGCTGGAGCGGGGTGAAGTCGTCGTCAAAGTTGTTGCTCTCGCCCTCGAGACGGACGATGCGCTCCTCGCACTGCTTGAGCGCATCGAGACACTCGTTGAGGCTCTTGTCGCAGGCGACGAGCTTGGTGCGGATGCGCTCGGTCTTCAAGACGGCGTGTTCGAGCTGTGCGTGGGCATCGTGGACCTGGACCCAGACGAATTCGCGGTCCAAGGCGTCGATCTTGTCCTGGTAGCCTCTTGTCTCGCGCACCTTTTGCCACTGCTGCAGGGCCTGCTGTGCAAGCGCTTCGAGCTGCTCGAGGGCGCCCGACTTGAGCGCCAAGGCGGACCTCATGCCGCTGATGTGATTCTCGATGAGGGTGTACTCGCGCACGAGCTGGCTGAGCTGGGTGCCTTCGAGGAAGAACTTGTAGACCTCGGAAGGATCGGAGCTGCCGAGGAACTGACGTGCGGTGTCCTGGGTGAGGATGTGGATGGGGTTGTCGGGCTGGATGTTGGCAAAGTCGCAGAAGGATTCGAGCTCTGACTTTGTGGTGGCAACGACCCTGCCGTTGGCGGCCTTCATCTTCCAGGTTGCGGGTCCGTCTGCGAGGATGCGGCGTTCGATGACGATGTGGTCGCCGTATGCTTCTGGACGGAAAGCGTCGCTGCCCTGGTTGCGGACGGTTACGGTGATGGTGGCAGAGGACTCACCCTTCTTGACGAGGTCCTTGAGGCTGGAGCCGCGGTTTGTGGAGCTGGTCTTGCCACCGAGTGCGATCATGAGCGCGGTGAGGATTGTGCTCTTGCCGCTTCCGTTGCGGCCCATGATGAAGTTGAGCGTGGGGCTGAGTTCGATGGAGAAGTTGGCGTGGCACATGAAGTTGCGAAGCTCGATCTTTTCGACGATGCCGGACTGGGCGTACCCGCGGTCGGCTTCGGCCTGGCGACGCTCCTCTTCGGCTCGATCCTCGTCCGAGTCGATCTCGTCCTGCTCGTCGTCATCTTCATCTTCGTCTTCATCGTGCTCGTCTTGCTCTTGCTGCGCATCTGCCTCGTCTTCGTCGGGAGTGACAACGCCATCCGAGTCCGAGGCATTGGCGAGTGGGACGGGTCTCGCTGAGCCTCGGACGTATGACCGTCTTGGAGTTGTGTCGTTTGCTGTGGAGTCGCGAGCGTTGGTGCGCATGCGCTTGGGAGAGATGGCGTCGACGTCATCGTCCTCGTCGAGGAGCGTGTCGCGACGACCAGATGACGTCCGCTTTTCTGGTGCCATGTTGATTCTGCGAGTGCGAGACTGGGTCCAATAGGCGTGCTGGCCATTCAGTTGCGATGGCGTGTGACTTCAGTGGAGGCGACCTCCACGTGTGAAGAGAGGCACCATGCACATGGACCGACTCCAGCTGTGCTTTTGCGAGCGTCGAGATGCCGAGAGTCGCAAGGAGGTGAAGCTCTGCGGTTTGTCAATTGACGAAGCAGCGTGCGGTCAGAAGGAGATGCGGACAGACGAAGGATTGGAGCGACGATCTGGCTCGAGCAGAGACCAACACCGGGATGAAGCTAGAGCCATGGCTGAGTCGAGCCGAGCGCGATGCTTCAGCGCCCTAATCACGCTCAGCGCGGGCGGGTTAGATCCCCTTTCAAATTGGGTGAAACGCGCGGAAAATCATCTACGCGCTCGTCGGAGGAGGGCGCGACGTGGCTTCGAGACCAACACCTCGTCCCGTCCTCTCCACCTTCTTTCCTTCGCGCTGACCATCCCAGGATTCTCGGGTATCCCCACCTGGACTCTCCCTTTGCATGTAGCACACTCTCGTCTGCGCTTGACCGGCCTCCTACGGCAATTTCGGCGATTCCGGAAGTCACAGAGCTCGCCAACTCAGGTCCCAAGACCGGCAGTCCTCGCAGAGTATCCTATATTCGGCCGATAACAAGCTCGCATCTTTCCGGCCGAGACGCACTGGAAATCAGCCCCTCTCTCCCAGCTCCTGAATCGCGTCGGAGGGGTGTAGATATTGAGTGAGTGCGGGTGGCCAAGCCCGATTGGCCTGGCTCAGAGGTGCGCGTGCGGCTGCAGGCGTGTCTCTCTTTGTCTCTCGTCTGGGCGGCTGGCCATGCAGAGAGAGAGAGAGCTCTATTGGGACCTGCGGGCCGCCGCGGTGGTGCAGTCGGGCGTGGCGTCCCTTTGCCGACCCTTTTTTTTCCCCTTGTGGTGCGCACCGCTGCAAGCACGCGCTGGCCCTGAAGCGCTTCTGGGTCTCATCTTGCGTCTGGCGAGGGAGGGCGTGACGCTCGGTCAACAGCCGCCGTTGCTTCACTACATCACCTTGGCCATTGATCCACTCCCGACACACGGCGTCGACCCTAGATCTCGACCACCCTTCACGCTATAGAAACGATCATAACGACCAAACCCACTTCAGTCGGCCACAGCCGGCATCGTACGCCTACCCAGCAGCTCGTACGAACTCGAGACATCCGCTAGGCATCGCCATCCTCGCACCACCACATCCACACGCCAACACCCTCTAGCGGTCGTGCAAGCTCACGTGCACGCCTAGTCACCAGCCATGGCCATCTTTGGCAAGAAAAAGTCCGATAAGGACAAGGACAAGGACAAGGACAAGCAGCCTGGTTCCCAGGGCCCTTCCAACGGCGACAGCATCTCGTCCTTGTCCCCCGCCCTCGACGGATCCATTCGACAATCGCAGCAACAACAGCAACAGCATCAACAGCAGCAGCAGCAGCAGCAGCA